TCAATGTATTTATGATATATGAATATAATGACACACTCACATGTGTGTGTGGTGTTGTGCTGGTATGTGTGCCGGTCCTGTGCAAAGTTTATAATATGTGTGTGTGTGTGCGTGCGTTTCTGTGCAAGCTTATAAATATTATGGTTACTTCCATGTCAAATAAAAAGAGGTGACTTCCAAATGGGACATCACCCATTACTAATTTCAGAAACCGCAGACCATAAAAACCATTACCAGGCTTTGCGAGTTGGACAAATGTGCAGATATTTTTTGCACACCTTTCAGCTCCATGCCGTCTAGTCCCTTTGCCGTGATCCTGTGGCTGCGTCGTCGTCCAATTAGAGCCAAAAAGAGGCTCCATTTTCTGTTCATTAAGTCGTGGTGATACTTTTAGGGGGTGACTAAAGAAGAAAACAATAACGTGAAAATCAATCCATTTTCATAAAAGAAATAAGACCTATACACTCCCACGCAGAGGCATACACACAGACAAACAAACAAACAAAAAATGCAAACAAACAAACAGAGAAAAAAATAAACAAACACATTCCCCACACCCCCCTCCCCCTACAGCACCCACGCATATCTATGCAAATATCTACTCTCGTCTCCCCCAATTACTTCGATCCATCGACCGTAAATCAAAATCATTTTCGATCACATCCCCCCACCCACCCCCCCCCAGCTGCCGCCCCCCACCCCTCCACCTCCCTCCCCTTCCCCTTTAGAAGCAGTTGAGCGGACGCCTCTTATCATTTACGAAATCGCCGTCTCATTAGCCGTCCCCCAGCCCCCGGGGTCCACGGGGCGGGTTCGGGGCTTAGGTCTAGGGAGGATGTCAAGGATTGGCAAGATGCTGATTAGATTTATGCTTAGACAGAGAAGAGAGAGAGAGAGAGAGAGGGAGGAGAGACCGAGAGAGAGAGTGAAGAGAGGAGAGAGAGAGAGAGGAGAGTGAGAGAGAGAAAGAGAGAGAGAGAGAGAGAGAGAGAGAGGGGATGTCTTGACAGGGATTGGCAAGATACTGATAATATTTATTAATGATGACAGGGACGAGAGGGAGAGGGGGGGGCAGTGCGTGTGATTTCTATGGTGTGTGTGTGTGTGCGTGGACGTGTGTGTGTGTGTGTGTGTTGTGTGTGCTGTGTGTGTGGTGTGTGTGTGTGTGTGTGTGTGTGTGTGTGTGTGTGTGTGTGTGTGTGTGTTTGGAGATGAGGGAGGGGAAGGAGAGAGAGAGAGAGGGAGGATGGGAAGAAGGAAGGAGAGAGAAGAGTTGGAAGGAGTGAGTGAGATAGGGTGGAGGGGACGCCCAGAGAAGGAGACAGAGAGAAAGAGACAGGGAGAGATAGAGATAAACAGAAAAACAAGTAAAAGGAAGAAAGAAAACGGAGAAAGATGAATAGATCGAGAGAGAGACGTAGAGAGGAGATAGATATATATATATAGATATATATAATATAAGAGAGAGAGAGAGAGAGAGAGAGAGGAGAGAGAGAGAGAGAGAGAGAGAGAGAGAGAGAGAAGAGAGAGAAGGAGAGGAGAGGAAGAGAGAGAGACTAGAGAGAAAGAGATGGAGGGAGAGAGGAGAGAGAAGACTGAGAGAAAGAGAGAGGAGAGGAGAGAGAAGGGGGAGCCATAGAATGGTCCGCAGCTTAGATTCTTCTGCCTCCTCTTCTCCCTCTCCCCTCCCCCCTCTCCCTCGCCCCCTTTTTTCCCCTCAGATAAAGCCATCTCAACCCTCAGCCAGACCATATTAGTTTTTTGCTGACGTCGGACGGTTTACCATTTGAAAACCAGATTTTTTTTTTTTTTTTTTTTTTTTTTTTTTTTTTTTTTGAGGGCGGAAAGTAAAACTCGTTCGTGTTTCGGGCCGTTTGTCCATCGTTATCTTCTCTTGTTGTTTGTTGCGGTTTTTGGGCATTTGGTGTTATTGTCATTGTTATGTGATTGTTGGTCATTTTCGTTATTTTTTCTTGTTTGTTTGGTATTATTTTTGCGACTTTTTTTTTCTTTTCTTTTTTTTACTGCGTTGTTTTCCTCTCTCTGTCGCCTCTGTCTCTCTGAAACAGAGGCAGAGAGAGAGATGAGAGAGGAGAGGAGACGGGAGGAGAGAGAGACAGACAGCCAAACAGAGGCCAGAGAGGAGAGAGGAAGAGAGAGATAGACAGACAGATAGATCAAGGAGTATTAACAGACAGATAGACAGGACAGAAGACAGATAATATTATATAATATATATATATAATATATATATATATATATATATATATATATATATATAGAAGAGAGCAAGAGAGAGAGAGAGAGAAGAGAGAGAGAGAGAGAGAGAGAGAGAGAAGAGGGAGAAAGAGAGAGAGAGGGGAGAAAGAGAGAGAGAGGGGAGAGAGAGAGAGGGAAGAAAAAAGAGAAGAGAGAGAGAGAGAGAGCACAGAGAGAGAGAGAGGAAGTGAAAGAGAATAGGAGGAAAGAGAGATGGGGAAGAAAGACAGGTGTGGAGCCA